TTTTTTTTTTTTTTTTTTGAAAAATCAACCATTACCAAGTTCACATTGAATGCTTTAATTTTTTGACTCCAGAACTCTATGCAGCAACACATTTGTGGAATATTATGTGCACTTTGCAGCCAAGTTGGACATATGAGGAATAAAGTCATTATATATCAGACAGCAAAGCTCAAAAAATAGAATGATTTAGGATGATGGATATAAAAAAATGTAATATTAACAAACACTTTTGTTTCTCTCTGGTTCCTCAGCTGGAATCCGAGCTGGAGCAGTGTGAACGAGAGAGTGCCGAATTACAGGAATACGCAAACTCCGTCCTGCAACAGATTGCCGATCACTGCCCGGACATCCTGGAGCAAGTGGTCAACGCTCTGGAGGAGTCCTGCTGACCGGACCGGACCGGATCACGGAGCTCACTCTTCCTGCTTCTCCTTCCCTTTCTTCTGTGTTTCACAGAATGCCAGCACACAGACACAAACTCTCGTACCCTCACCCACATGCACAAATCAAAGAACAGACACATACGGGAAAGACTGACAGCTCACAAGTCAAGTGCACGCTTGGATTGGCTTCGGGGTGTGCGTATGGTGGGCTTTCCTTCTGCCCTCCCCTACCACCACATTCATCTCCTCCGCACCTTCAGAATCCCGTTTACACTCACATAAACATGGGGAAGAAGAAACCGAAAGAGGGAAACGGGCGGCAGGGAAGCTTAGTATTATAAGACATGTTCACTCATTCAGTTAAACCCGTCCTGCGGGAGGTGAAGTTCTCTCTGTGAGGGTCAGGAAATAGTCTCCTTATCTTGATATACACTATTGCCACAGCTTTTAAAAGCTGCAGGATTTTGAAACCGTTTTGAAGCAATTTAGATTTTTTCCCCCTCCCTCCTCCTCTCCCTTTTTTCTAGATGCTTTGTTACTGACGTTAAATTATGGGTCATTCGCGCAGGGCAAAACTCCTGCACTCTCGAACCATCTGGTTTCACTCAAAACTTGGTTAATGCTCCAGTTGTGCCAGCAGACAGTCCGCGCGGACTTAAACATAGCCTACTTTTACTATCGAAGTCAGTAGCGGGTTTAGATTACTGCAACCCCCACCATCTGGGAATTTACTATTGACTTGGTTACTGGCCGATTTCCTCCCCCAGTCTCGTTCATGAAAGTTACGAAACGGACAATATGGGTAATGTTATCCCGTATGCACCTGTCACCAGCTAAAGAAACCACAGCCCTGGTTTGTGTCTGTTAAAGGTGAGAGAAAGAAAATTATTTGCCTTGGAAGTTGTAGGTTTATTGCTGCTAACATTTGTCTTTGCATGTGGCAGGTTTGGTTTGCTCGTGTTTTTCTATAGCTCTCTGATGATGCCGAGGGCGGTAAAACAGCGGGTGTATTGCCGACGCAGATGTTGTGGACGCAGAAGTGCCTCATCATCAGAGAGCAGCTGCCACACATCACTGGAATAGGAAAATAGGTACCTATCACTCATTCCATACTTTGAAAACTATGTGGTCTCACACTGGGACGAAGACTGGCGGTAGTTTTTCAGTTTGCTCGATTTTGCTCGACAAGGTTTTTCTTGACGGATAAGGTCAAATAAGAGTAGCTGTTTAGATACCCTCTTGCTTTATTCCACTCTCTCTTTTTTTTGAACAGTTGGAAGTTGTTTTTTGCGGTTGCTTTCTGAGATATCATCAAGCTTTGATCCCAAGCATCTCACATGTACCATCATGCTCCTGTCTTTCTCTTTGCTTGGCTTCATATCATCATCCTCAGACCCGGGCATCTCTGTTAGCACAGCCGGCAGGTGTATCCTCTTTCACTTTATGGTTATATGGGTCTATATCCGTTGGCATTGGGTGTCCCTTTTTGGAGTGATAAGATACAACCTCGTTCAACTTGTGATAAACGTGTTCGGCCGTTGCTTTAAAGTCCAGAGTCGACTTCCCCTGTGGATGACACTGGGCGTAACGTGCCCTCTGCTCTTCTCTCTCTCTATATCTCCTCATCTCTCCCTCATTCATGCCTGTGTGTAGTTTATGGCTCTGACCTGCTGTGTTGTGTTAGTCATACTCCTCTCTGCACGATAAGCCCCACAGACAAGACAAACAGCACAAGATCACAGCGAATATAATCATCTCTCTCTCACACGCTCCCGTATCACCATACCACCTCTCCTCATGCCCATACGCACTGGTTATGAGGGAACCTGCCACGTGTTGTGGGGCCAAACGTGCGCTTTACCCAGATTTGATTGCACTGTGAGTCTCTACTCTAGTAGCTGTAACTAGTACTAGTATATTGTTCTCCAGAGATTCATGTTTGTTTGTCTCTGTGAATGATTTAGACTAAAAGACGGGTTTATGTATTTGGGTGAATTTCATAAAAACGCATTCAAGTCACATTGTACGCCAAAATCATAAGAAATTATATATTGCATAAAAAGGAATGAAGCTACATTATTTTTGCGAAAACTAAGCACGTTTTCTCTCAAAATTCTGAAGGCATTTAAATTAAGTAATATTATTATTATGATATAGTTTTATTATTATTATTATTGTAATTCATATTATTCTTAATCATATTTTTCATGAGATTCTGATTACAAAAAAATACTGTATTAGTTTTAAAAATCTCCAAAAATCCAAAATAAAAGTTAAATAAATGTAAAACATTTTATAAAAATTTTCATAAATTAAAGTCAGTAAAATAAACACTAAATTGAAGTAAATAACTTTGTTTAAATATTTTTTTACCACATTACTGTATTATTTTTTTTTTGCATTATGGTAATGAGAATTGAAAATGTGCTTAATTGTCATGAAACATAGTCATAATATCTGTTTGTTTTCTTAAAGCAAAATATAATTTTCTGTTTCCCATGTACTTAACATGTTTTGTCAGATTCACCTTATTGCATCTATAATTAACTAAAGCTTAATGTGGCAATGTGGAGCCACTTTAACAACGTATTCCCACGCTCACATGGGCAATGCCAAGAAAACACCCATTCACGTGCCATTCTCACCCTTGGCACCGTAGATCTTATTGCAGTCATATGCATTGCATATCTATAAAGTATTTTATAGTTTTATGCTCTTAATTACAGCTGATGGACTTTCTTATGAGGACATAAATTTGACGAGGAGCTCTTTTGGGCTTTTAAAATCAAACAGCTGATTGATGACGCCCATCCTGTTTTTCATCTCTGTCGCTTTCTTCCCGTCTGCTATCTCATTCACGCACAAACACAGTTTTGGCCGTCACCCGTGGGTCTCTGAAATATGGGGCTCAGTTATCTTCACTGTGGCTGAATCTCCCCGCTTAGACTAAACACAGACCCCTCATACACACACACGCTATCACAGGCCCTCTCGCGATTTATGTCCTTCAGTACAGGAGCTGGCCTCTCAGCGCAGAGCACTCCGGAGAATTCCCTAAGAAAACAAAAAGCAGGAACGCTGTGATAACCGGGAGCAGATCAGAGAAAGAATGACCCAGCGCTTTGCAGAGGGTGTTGTTGTGTGTTGAGTGAGTGTCTCTCTGGAGCTCTGGTATTTGTGTGATTGCTTGTTATAGGCAGACCTAATCACACAGAAGAGTGTAGAAATTCCCTGCAGGCTTTGGATCGCTCCGCATGTGTCTCAGTGATTCCTCCTTGTGTTTTTGAGGAATTACAGAGATCTACACCAGCGCTCTCTGCTCAGAAGCTAATTACCAATACTACCAATATTCAGTAGCACTTTGTACGAAGCCTGTATCTATTACAGTATTTTGAGTGCAGATTAATTCACAATACCTTGCTTAGTCATGTTTAACGACTATAATGCATTATAAAACAACATGAAATTTGGTGTTGATAGTGTGTTGTTTTTTTAAGGGTGTAACCATTAGATAAGTAATATAGTGCATTAAAACTAGTCATAATTATTCATAACTGATAAGTTGTATTATAAGGCATTAAGAATGCATTGTATAAGCAAAATTGCGCGCCAATTCTGTTTATATAATGCATTAGAACACCCCATATACCTGAATTCACTCTATGTAATCTCCTATATAACCCTATACAGGCTTCATTTTAATTTTTTTAACATACGTTTCACTATTTTGTTTTGCAAACCACTCTTGTTAATTTATGGGAGCAGCTCATAGGATGTGGTCAGCTGACTTTCCATACCCTTTGGCTTTTTACATCTACCTGGCTTAAAACTGCGTTCAGCCATGAGTGTGAATGAGCGTGAGGTGTTGCTTCATGTTTTAGTATGAACATTTTTCATCCTCATTAAACTCACCGAGGCATGTCTGTGGAGGGAGAGAGAGAAAGAGCAAGCGTGGGGTGGCCAGGCTTCGCACAGGCTCTAAGGGCCCGGCTTATTTTCCATTCGCTGTCAAGATTTTTATTCTACCCTATTTTGCCCTATAACATGAGACATTTATCGTAGCGTCTACTTAAATGCTTCACAAAATGGATTACATCATGTTGCATGTCCCATAATTCTTAGTGTTAATCAGTAGTGATCCTGAGTTTTGTCATACAGATGTTCTAATCGTCTTTTATTCGTTACTGAAGAACTGTGAGAACACTGCCAGAGACGTCTCATACATACATGCATATACAGAAATCTATATTTATATATGTCGATGGTTGAACCTAGACTTAGTTGAACAATTTGCACAAGCGTCTGGGGAAGAGAATATATCCGTCTGAACAAAATGGCTGTCAGCTATTTAAAAAAATAAATAAAAGAAGAATGAACTAGTAACACTAACTTTTGTCTTGAAATGAACATTAAAGAAAAAGCAAAGCCTTTCTAAGTGTCAAATCAAAGCTGTTAACAAAAATTTTCAAAGTTGTTACCTTGTGGTTGATGATGTGCTGTTTCTATCTTCTCCGCATCTTGTTCGATTTTGATTCCAGCTCATCTTACAGTAATTTTTTTTTTTTCTTTTTTCAGTCCTTGATAGTGTGCGTGATTGCGATGTTGAAAACTGCATTACAAAACATGTATATCTATTCTTGGGCTTGGAGAAACATCCGTGACCGTGTTTCGAGTGGACTGAGTGATGCCGAGACCTCTGCTTGAGAACTGTGATTCTAATAGCACTCTGGGTTGCTGGAAAGTCAGTGTTATTTTAGATAAGCATCATTCGTGCATTTTCAGGAGATAATAACCGTGTTGTGTTGACCGTTTTGGTCAGATGATCAGCATCACTCGACACGAAGCCTTATTTTTTGTTCATAGTAATTTATCGCATGTGTAAACACACTTAAAGTTTTTATGGCGTCCTAAGTAGATTGCCTATTAAATTGTTTACTTATTAACTCATCTTGAATAGTCATTATTTACCCAAACGGTCTGAATATATCCGTCTGAACAAAATGGCTGTCAGCTATTTAAAAAAATAAATAAAAGAAGAATGAACTAGTAACACTAACTTTTGTCTTGAAATGAACATTAAAGAAAAAGCAAAGCCTTTCTAAGTGTCAAATCAAAGCTGTTAACAAAAATTTTCAAAGTTGTTACCTTGTGGTTGATGATGTGCTGTTTCTATCTTCTCCGCATCTTGTTCGATTTTGATTCCAGCTCATCTTACAGTAATTTTTTTTTTTTCTTTTTTCAGTCCTTGATAGTGTGCGTGATTGCGATGTTGAAAACTGCATTACAAAACATGTATATCTATTCTTGGGCTTGGAGAAACATCCGTGACCGTGTTTCGAGTGGACTGAGTGATGCCGAGACCTCTGCTTGAGAACTGTGATTCTAATAGCACTCTGGGTTGCTGGAAAGTCAGTGTTATTTTAGATAAGCATCATTCGTGCATTTTCAGGAGATAATAACCGTGTTGTGTTGACCGTTTTGGTCAGATGATCAGCATCACTCGACACGAAGCCTTATTTTTTGTTCATAGTAATTTATCGCATGTGTAAACACACTTAAAGTTTTTATGGCGTCCTAAGTAGATTGCCTATTAAATTGTTTACTTATTAACTCATCTTGAATAGTCATTATTTACCCAAACGGTCTGTCAACACGTCCACATTTTTCATGCATTACTTCCCTCCACTTAGTTTGATGGACTGAGACTGTTTAAAGCATGAAACCACATAAAACATCGGCTGAAGGATTTGGCAAGTTTATGTCTGACTTTCCGTTCTCCATCTGAGCGAATTCGGTGCCAAACGAAGCTAGTCTGCTCAAGAAAGTGCCACAAATAATAACCTGCCTGTCGTTCATCAGCAACCAAAGCCAGGTCACGTGACCTTTTACTGTTTATATCATGTTTGCGTTATATTTAAACCTTTAAACCTTAATTGACACAATAAAAGGTCAAACCGAAACCAGGCCTGCTGTGCTCGGTTAGCTGCTGGAGTCCAGCTAGATGAAGCACCAGAACGGACGCCTTTATTAAGTGTGTAATAGACTTGTTCGAGTGTCTGAGTTGAATGAAGCAGCATTATTCACAAGGACCTAATCTTCATTTCGACTCAGAAATGTGTATGTGATAACATAGTCATTTTCTAGACTGTGTGCCTATATGAGAAAATATGTCAGGCTTGTAGTTGGCACTTATTATATTTTTTCCCTCTGGATTTTGTCCTAAGAGAGTGTCAGACCTCAATATCACCCCATTCACATCATGCTCTCTTGGCTCCAGCAACCCTGCCTTCTGTTACAGCAAGTGTCTATCTTTTCTAACGATTCATGCTCTTTTTCTACACAGTACACAGAAACACTGTCAAGGAGGATTCTCGGCCTTTCCCCTTTCATTTAATGAAGAAAAATAAATGGGAAAAATGTCAACTTTAACCCAAAGCTGGTCATCTTTCATGTCTTTTTTTTTTTAATGATATTTTCATGTTTACAAAAAATACTGCCTTACGTCTGTGTGGAAAAGATAAAAGATTTCTGTAAAAAGAAAATGCAAAATAACAAAAAGGCGTATTGTATTCAGCTTTTGCCTTTGTATGTATATAAACTCTATCATTCAGTCCTTATTGTGTTTGAGCGTTTTCTGTCAGCTACAATGCATTATTATTCTTACCGTGCTGCCTACCTCGACTGCGTTTTAAGGCATCATATATAGGCAAAAGATAAAATACTGTCTATGCTACCTTTTAAGATACTTTGTTTTAGTCCTAAAACGAAGAATCACATGTATCCTTGTGGAAAAGATAATCCCAGGATGCATTGCAAAAAATAAGATGGTCTAAAACTTGAGCGAAATGTTGATTATGAATTTTTATTTCATTCAATATTTCACTCAAGAAGAAAATTGACAGTTTTAGCCAGTATTTATGTATTTTTATGCTTATTTGCGGATTGTGTCATTAGCTTAGCTACATGCTTTTTGGAATCATGAGTCAGTGTTTCAAATGAGTCATATTATGACGTTCCATTTCAGTTAAGATGCTGCATTAGAAGGTAGCTGCTTATGTAGACAGTAAACAGCAGGGTTTTGGATCAGAGCTAATGTTCCATAATTACTCAGTGAG